TTAGGTAGGAACAAACTTGTGGCGCATTAATTAAAAATGGAATTTTTGACCTTAATTTTTTAATTAATTTAGGCTCTTCATAAAAATAAATTAATTTCACTGCGTTATCTCCTCACATATTACATAATATGATCTTTACGGTGGCAGAATAAAATTGTTGGCGTTGAATTGGTTCAAATTTTAGGTAGAAATTTTTATAAATTTTATAAAAAAAATTTAAACGAAACGAACTAAAACATAAAAATTTGAGCGTTGGCGGTGCGTCGACTCTAAGTTATTAATTCGCACGTCATATATTATTACTAGCTGACCCCGTGAACTTCGTTTCATCTACAATTTAATTTTGAATCTGCAAAATCAAATGCTTTGAAATCTTGCAGATGTTTTAAACATATGATAAGCATAATAAATTTTTATTCAAAATATATTTACTTATCCCCTCCAAAAAATTGATGACGTCAGCCCAAAATTTTGCCAATGAATCCTATCTAAAATGTCTAAAATAGGATGAGACTATACTTGTGATTTATCATTCCATTCATATTTTTTAGTTTTGCTTATAGGGGGTGTCTCAAAAAAATTAATCACTGAGTCAATTTATTTTATTGATTGGATCAAGAATTGCAAAACTGAATTTTGAAATATTGCAGAGGTTTTGAAGTTACTGTTTGACATGGTAGGTTTTCAATCAAAATATATCTGTTTATCAAGCTCAAAAACTTGAAGACGTCATCTCAAGATTTTGCCGAATAAATCCTATCTAAAGTGTGGAAAATATCATCAGTATATTTTCGTAATTTATCATTGCATTTATATTTTTTAGATTTGCTTTTACAGTGACTCAAAAAAATATATGGATCAGTCAATTTATTTTAGTGAATAACTCAAGAGTTGCAAAAATGAATACTTTAAGATCTTGCAGACGTTTTAAAGTTATTGTAAGCATAGTAAATTGTTAAGAATATTTATTTATTGCCCCCAAAAAATTGATGGAATGGCTCACTCGATTTTCGCAGATAATTTTAGGAATACAATACAATTATTTTTAGTATTACACTGCACCAATCCAAGGTGGTATACGTGTTGATCGTAAATGTTGATTAGGTCATCACAAAATTGTGTGAAGAAAAGACTCAACTCGAAAATGCTGAATATGTTTCATTATACTTTTGGTGCGAAGGAAGTTCTGTCGAAACAACGTTCGATCAATTTTTTGACGAAGGTTGATATAAATAAAACTCAGTAGATGCTCGTACTTGAAATACGAAGTATCTACTCGAATATCAAATCAAAATATTTCTAGTTTTTCTAGATGATATTAATACTTCAGTAGGTAATAGTTGATGCTCAAGTAGCATCTCGATACAACAAAAAAGGACAACAGTGACAGTGTTCAACCATCAAAGCAAAAATCGAGTCACCAAAATATAAGTTAGTATGGGGTAGACACCTTGAGATGGGAATCTCTATGGCCAGTGTTATAAAAAACGCAGTGCACAATTTATGCATAAATAAAAGTTAATTACCTGAAAAGTTTTCGATATTCCTGCTCCTAATGTGTTTTTCAAACTGAATGCACCTTTTGACGACGTTCCACGTTCATGAAAGTCGCCATGTTTAGTTAACATTCACTCTTACAACGATCCTACTCGTTTTCTAAGCTGCTTTACAGACAGCTCAGTTATTTGCCACGCCGATCCTCATTTTTAGATTAAATGCTCACAAAACGCGTAGATGTTCAATTTGTGTCCGGAGAGATACAATGTTTCCAAGTAGGTACTCAGTACATAGAGTAGAAGCTCAGGTATATAAGAGTAATAATGAAGTAGGTACTTCGTACTTCGAATATTAGTTTCTACTCAGTTTTATTCATACCACCCAATGTCTCGCTTTAATGTTTGATTATGTTGATTATGAGCATAACGCTGATCAACTTCCATATCCGAATTACCCATGAAATAAATCATTGCGGTTTGCACCTGAGGTAGTTCGTCGCACATTTGATTGACTTCGTGGACCTATGTGAGGTTGTCTTCTTCTCGGCATTTTAATAAACTTCATAAAACGACATAGAATTATTTTCACAGTCAATCAAATCTGTAAATTTTGTCTTGAGAATTTTATAATATTGAAAACATCAAATTAAATCCTCGAATAACGGTAAAGTTTGAGGTTTTGTCAAAACCAACAAAGTGAATATAGGTAAATAGAATGGCAGATCAAAATTAATAAGAAACTTTCGCAATGTGTAATTAAATTCACTTTAATCAAGACTTTTATTAAAATAAACGACGTTTTTTTTTACGAAAAAACAAAGAACGATTTGAAATGCAATATAGTTTTCACAATTGCACGGAAGAATTAGTTTTGTATGACACGTCAGTTAGACGACAGGTCCGTCAGAAACTAATCTACTATTGAAATTAATTCGAAGTGGCGATTCCCATACAAAATTTTTAGAATTTTTTAATTTTTTAACTGTTCTTTTAAGTTTTCCTTATTTTTTTTATTTATGAACCATCCCCGTAATATAAAAAATTCTTCAAATCGGTCAAGCTGTTTTTGAGTCTTAGCGAGACTAACAGGAACAGCAATTGATTTTTATTATATAAACGATTAAAAAATGGGGGTTGGTGGTAGAAAGGTGAAAATTTAGGGTTATGTATATTTTTTGATGCCAATTCTTAAAAAAATAAAAATAAAAAAATTTGTCCAAAAAATAGACAAAAAGTTTTTGGGGTGGGCCACCCTTATCACTTAGGAGTTTAAAAAATAGTTTACAACCTATTCTCAGACCTACCGAATATACATAAAAAATTTCATACAAATCGGTCAACCCATTTCGGAGAAGTTCGGTTACAAACACTGTGACGCGAGAATTTTATACATAATGCATTATTATTTTAGAACAAATTTCATTACCATAAAAAAGGTTATACTGACTCGACCTTAAAAGATAGACATATGCTGTCGCGGACTTTTCTTTAGAACTTTTAGAGGGGAACAATTTCGTCATACATGATTTTTACGTAACTTTAACCGTTTAAGCAGCGTAAGCAACGGAAGCTGTCAAAGGAGGAATAATTTTCCCGTTTTTCCGAATTTTTCATTGCTACTTCGCTCCTAATGGTCGTAGCGTGATGTTGTATAGCTTATATGTAGATATGATACATGGACTATCCAACACAAAAAGATTTTTTGAATTTGAACCAGTAGTTTCTGAGATTAACGTGTTCAAATAAACAAAAGCTTCAGCTTTATTATATAAGTATAGAAGTATAGATAGGATACATAGAGAGCTCCAAGCATGATCTTACTAAAGTATATCGTATTTTTTTAAGTAAACTTATGAAATATTATTCGTTAAAGGATATTGTCTTTTTTGAATATAAAACAATATAACACTTATTTCTTCTTAGTGTTAAGCGATTACCTTTAAGTGTTATATACATGTTTCGATTCAAAAAAGACAAGATCTCTCTCACAGAGTTTCGCAATTTCTCATGGAATGTACTTCCATATATGCCTTAAGGCCGTCTGAGAATAGAAGTTCCCCACACGAAATATTTTTAATGATCATTTGTAAATAGAGGAAGTAATAAAGCTTGGTAAATCAATGCGCCCGATTGGAATTAACACACCAGCTTACAAGTTTTCAAAGTGGTGAATGAACGAATTCAATAACTTGCCAGTCAAACAATCAAGTTTTACTATCACAGATTCGCTGAATTTCAAATGTTTTGAAAGATATTGAGCTGTTAGTTTCATTCGATGTCAGTTCTCTTTTTCCAAGTGTCCCAATAGCACAAACCTTAGTCTATTTAGAATAATTGTTCGTCCCAAGAGGCTTAGAACAACAAATCGTAGAAGAATATATTTAAGTAACTAACGTCAGTATGAAACAGAACATTTTTCAAACAATGGGAAGTTTTTCATGGTTGAGCATCTCATGAGTCGATTTGCAAAGTATTTCTAATAAAAGCTTAAATATTTTCCACGGATATGGACAAGGTATGTGGATCATATTTTTGTCATTTTCGATAGAAATAAATGCGACATTTAAACTTTTATGTATAACTTTCAGTCTACAATTCACAGTTTGTTTAACAACATTAATTTCACTCACAAAGAAGAAAACACGAAATTACCTTTTTTTGATCCACTAGTAATTAAAAATACCATATGATCGAAAAAAAAGTTGTCTAATATGCCAAGAAATTTACTTTTGAAATAATGATGTTGCCATTGCAGTTATTCCGAAATTTATTTAGCAGAGATTTTTACCATAACTGTCAAACCAAACAAGCCACGCGTTGGTGTTGAAAACATATTTTTTTTAACATTAATTTTCATTGGTTGCTAGACGATTATATGGTAGTGATAAATTAGAATTTTATGTTTGAAGGAAAAATATCACTATTTTTCTCTACATCACTGCTGAGTTCCACCAATCCGTAACAGAAGATATCAAGTTTCAGTTTTTTTTGGTCAACGAAATCTTTAGTTTTCATTAAAGTTATAGCCAGATATAACGGCTTCAAAACAAGACTAATTGCAAAGTTTAAATTTAAGAAATTGATCGCTTAATCATCTACTTTTCAATCAGAAACCTCAGAGAGATGATTTTGACTCTATGCCTTTTTTCGTGAGCGTCTGAGAATTAGTCCAAATTTTTTAAAATTTGTTTTATTCAATCACAAGGCTAAATTCAGTAACAAATAAGTTCAATTTGCTGTATTTTTAATGACCATTTGAATTATATTTTTGAACATTTGACGTTTATCAAAATTGGATAGCTGCTCTCTGATTAAAAAATTATTCAGAACAAAAATTCTCGAAGTAACTTGTGAAAATGTTTCTTGGGTTCCATAAACACAATTATTAAAGCGGACGCTATTCGTGAATCACCCTGCATAGCACAACTTTATAATCGTGACAGAAATTGTTTGTTTGATAATTGTTTTATGACATTCTACTCTACTTATCACACAAGTAATTACCTTTGGAAACGGTTCCCCCGCCACATGGCACAGCATGGTAGCATCCTCTCCGGGTCTCTTCGATTGGATCCTCGGTGTGACGTGAACCTCTGGAACAGCTATAAATTTGCCCTTTAAAACAATCCTAAAGACCAATTATTGGGCACTTACTATGAACCGTGAGGATGTGCGTCTGAACAACGTCTTTGTTCCTTTGTGCATGGCAGGTGTAATTTCCGGCGTGCTGAAGCTGTATCCTGGTTAAGTAAAGGCTGCCATCGCTGAATACTCGTATTTCTTCTTCATTTAAAGTGGACAGGTCCAATTGATTCCGTCTCCATACGATGGGCGGCACGGGTGACCCGGTAACATCACACTTGATTTCCACGTTGTCGCCTACCCTTGCGCTCAGACGGTTTGTTTCTAAGGCTTTGTCGAGGGATACGACTGACACACCTGAATGGTAAGGTGTCGTTTTTACTCCTATTTGAGTTACGAACGTGTCACTTATACTTACTGTACAATTTGCTAAAAGCCACGTAGAATTCGTTTATGCTCAATTTGCCATCATGGTCGGCATCGTCGTATTGAATCATATTTGATAAGGAACAACCGCTGCTCAGACTATCCAGACGCTCTTGAGCGGCTATCTGTGATATAATTTTACATTGTTACATTGATATCAACATCTGCATAATTTTGTAGGGTGCGTACATTCACGAACTCGAAATTTAGATAATTTTTAAACCAGTTTTGGTCAATTTATTATCGTAATACTAATAATACGTCACTGGAAGATCACAAATCTTTTATAAAGGCTACAATTATTCTTCAATAATTTAGTAAATCTTTTTTCAGTTGTTGTTTATAAGTTATAACAATGTTCATCTGATGTGTGTCGTAACGTACGATTAGATCAAAACGCCCGTAACAGTCGTTGCTACTCGCTTGAAGAGCTAATTTCTCACCCGTATAAATTACGCCTTTCGCTTTGGGCTGACGTTCTAAAATTTCAGTCATGAGAGGTGAGTACACTTTCATACTTGTTGTCACATTTGATGTCTTACAAAGTTTCTAATTTTGCAAGTTACCGACTATGAACGACTAGAAAACTAGTGTTAAGATAAGTATTAAACTACAAATATATTTTCCTCATCTAGATTGTGTTTGTCTTTAAAAGTGTTCCAACTTTCAAATGATTTTTAGCAAAAAGTGGCTTACACGAAAGTGCTTTTTAATATTCATCTACCTACAGCGTAGAACGATTTACTAAAACCGACCCTTTTTTAAATGTTAAATTCGTAATTTACTCTTTTTAATTTCTGCGTCCACGGCATAAGCTAAGGAAATACTGTAATAATCATTCTGACAAATGTCTAATTTCATGTTTTCTTGGCGTTCTACAGTTTGTAGAATATGAAAACGTCGATATTCCGTTTTCGTCTGTTTGTCGTTTGTGGGTAATGTTATTAGATAATCCCCTAATGCTGGCTGGATTAGTTATTGTGATTTTGGGTTTATCGTAGAGTATGTTGATCCTCGTCAAACATTTGTAACATTATTTTAAAATTTTATTAAGTTGTATATTTTTAACGGCACGTATATCAGTTATCGTAAAAAATAAACATTGTACTTATTAATAAAATAAAATTTGGCAGTTTTACTTAAAATCTATATATAATGTTTTTTTGAAATTTTGTACGATAAAGATGTTTTTTTAGTGACTATACAGGGTTGTTTTAAACTGATATTGATTTATTAATTCCTTTCAGAAAGATGTCGAAGTGATCTCAAAAATTTATTGTGAGATTCGAGATGGCAGTATTACTTATTAGAGTTCTGGAATATCTTGTTATTTGTTAGAGTGTACATATATAAAAAATTGTGAATCGAGAAATTGATTTTGTTAATTGAATCCAGCTGCCTTATCTCATTTTCTGGAAATTTGAAGAATTTGTTACAATATATTAAGTCTTCACTAAAAAGTTGATAATGTTATAACAAAATATTATTTAAAAAATTTCCTTTGGAACGTGTAGCATTTCGCACCCTTTCAAATGCGATTTAATAAACTGTTGCAATTCTTACGGGAATACATAACTTACTGTTATGAAAGAAATTGTTCTAAGACTATCTAGATAGAACTTCCTTTGCTCCTGAAGTATAGTTGAGCAAGTACAACTTTAAAAAATTATGAAAGTTAATTTTGCGTATCTTATTTTTAAGGTCCAGGAGCATGTATGTTCACGTGTCCACTACAAAATTTTGTGATGATGTCATCAATATTTTAGCAAAGACACATGTATACATAATTCTAAAAAATATAAATGCATTGATAAACAAAAAGTATAGAGTCATAATATTTTGCACATTTTAGACAGTATTCATTCGTTACAATTTGGACATGACGTTATCAATTGGTTTGGGGGTGATAAATGGATAAATTTTGATTAATGGTTTACTATGCTTACGGTCAGTTTAAAACGTTTGCAAGATTTCATAGCATTCGGTTTCGCCGTTTAAAAATTAAACTGTAAAATATTCTTATACAATTTTGATTTTTTTCTAAACATGTATGATTTCTAAGGTAAATAATCAAGACGGATTCATAAACCATAAGTGCAAGGAGTATGTTATTTTATAAAATTTACATCACATTTGTATATCATAGTTGATGGGAATGATTAGACGAATTTTGGTTATCGTTTTGCAATTGTTTCTTAGCTTATGTTTGAAGTAGAAATAGAACTAACCTCATCTACACTGGATTTGTTTAAATGTTTGACTTCAGGCGTGACCGAAATTCTGTCTAAATAAATTTAGATCAATCTTTTCTCTGTTATTTGAAAACACATATTATGTGTATAGTATCTTTACAGTTTCTTGATCTTGAAAATTTGCGAAGTAACTTTTAAACGAAATTGTACCTAATTAGTTTAATAAAATTATGATTTTCTTTTAAAATTGATCAATTCAATTAGGTAAGGTAAACGGACGATTTGAGCAACTTTAATTTTTTGCATTAGAGCGCTTTTTCTCACTTATTTTTTAGACACTAAGAAAATAACCGAGGATCTGTGATCCTGAGAAAATTTTTGAAAAGGTAGGAAATTAATGTTGGAGGTGTTGTGATTTTTTTAAATTTTTACTTTAAATTTTTTGAAGAAAGTTTAACATGAAATCATATACTTATGTCAATAGAATTGATATATTTCTTCAAACATTTTGATCTCGGGAACAATCAGTAATTTGAGTTTGAATTTGAATATAAACGGCCTCTTTGGGAAACGTTTTACCTTTATATTTAGGTATTTTTTACTTACATTACTTACCTATTTTTTACGTGTAAGCTAAGGCACTACTGTAAGAGGGTCTATTTTACTAATGGCTAATAGTTCTCTCGACATTTTATAGCTCCTAGGATATGAAAAAGTAGGTCTCCGTTTCTGTATTCTGCTAGTCTTTATCGCTTTTATTTGTGATTTTATTACACCTATAATATCCGAAACTATTGAAATTATGATTGTGATTTATGAAAATGCTAACCTAAGTACTGATCATTCTCAGCAAAAATTTTATGATATCATCAGTTCAAAATTTTGCAAACAAATTTAAATTAAATTTTATAAAGCAATATCTTTCTGTACTTGCGGTTTATTAATCTGCCTTTGTGTTTACGTTTGCAATCTATATTTTTGGAAAATATTCAAAATTGTACATCAAATTACAAAAGCGACTGCTCTGAAATATTGCAAATGCTGATAAATCGCTGATAATTTGCACAATCCACAAATTTGTGGACGTCATCTCAAAATTTTGCCAGATATTTCCTATGAAATCTACAATATATTATGTGTCTACATTATTTGTGGTTTATCGGAGCACTCATACTTATTACTTCTACAAGATATCTCAAAATATAAAAAAAAACAGCAAGAGTAAATCCTCTTTATCTGTAGTTTAATAATTCACCCCAATTTTTTAACAAATAGGGGATATCACAACAAAATAGAACACGTAGAAGAAAATTTTATATCTAAGAAACTGCATTTGTTGGACTGTGCTCCAGGGATGAAGGAAGTTCTGTCTAAATAACTGTACACCATTTATATTTTCTCAACATTTCATGACCCCTGCAGTACAAAAAAAGTGGTCTCCTGGTTCCGTCTGTTTATCCTCTGTCTATCTGTCTGTCTGTCTATCGTCTGTGTCGACTTTTATTAGATAGATTACCTCCGAAACTACTGGACCAATTGGTGTCAAATTTTGTAAGTATACTATGACTAGTAAAACGAAAACGCTAACCAAAATGTGTGGCTAATCATGCCACCAACAATTTGATAATGTCCTTCAAATATTTTTTAGTAATTAAATTTTATAAAATAACATAGTCTTATAGTTGTGATTTATGAAACAGCGTTGGTTTTTAGTCCTAGGTATCCAGATTTTCGCAAAAAAATACACCTGAATCATCTCCGCCTTGTAACTCGAAGGTCGGCCGTTTTAAAGCCCACATAGAGAGGAATGTTTTTTTTTTTAAACTGTGATTCGTATTATTTATCTTTCATTAATTTATAGAAGTTTTCACAAAACATATTATAATTTTTCAATAAGCGAAATTTGTCTGACTGTAGTTCAGGGGCGAGGGAAGTTCTGTCTAACTAATTATAATTTAATTTGATAATACTTACCTATAACCTGTTATGAATTTTACAATTTGCAGCAAAAATTATTTTTGTGATGTAAAGGGAGCGGGCTGGTTTTGATGCTATTTCATGTTTCACTGGTATTATTTTCAATTTTCTTGGGTTTGCTAACGATTGAATTTTGCGAATTGTAAGCAGATCTACGTATTATTTAATTTGCTTTATTTGTAGAAAACGTTTTGAATAATTTAATAGACCTTTATTTACTCTCTGCTGCGTCGATTAAAATCTTCACAAAAAATCTGTGATAAGAAATGCGGTGAAGATTTTTTGTTACTTCATGCCGCGTAATGAAATTAAATGGGTTTTGACGCAGTCCATTTTGACTTTGGTGTGTGTGTTTGGTTCGTAAAGTGGTTCCTTTATATGGTTTAATTTTGTTAAAAATAATTTATTTATGTACTAAACTGTGCCGTGAGGGATCTTCAGGGTTCGGCGCGGAAGGAAAGGAAATCCGGATTTAAAGGGTAATTATTGCCATCACACTTATTTATCCGTTTGTTATCGTTTGTTGCAGAGTTATTTATATTTTTAATTTAAATATCTAATAATAATACTAAACTAGAATTTGGTGCTCTAAGCAAATTTCAGTAACTTTAATAAATATACAATGTATTTGTTACAAGTGAGCTCACGTAACTGCAATTATTATTATTTGAAATATTTAATTTATGAATGTTAAGCGTTTTTAGATTAGTTTAGCAGCGTTCACAAAAAACGTTCACCTTTGTTTTCTTTATCGCGATGAATTGATGATATTTAAATTTTGAAATATTTGACAATCTGTTACTCCTTGGTTGGTAAGTAAGTACAATTAAAATAAATTTAACAAATGAATAAACATTTTCACAAAATAATTTTTAGTGGAAATAATGAATATCAATATATGTCTAAGTTCGTTTTTAACCTATAATATTTTTCATTATAGTTTGTAGATGAACTGT